ATTTTCGGGCGTAACATCTTTAATATAACTAATACTTTCACAAAACCAATATTCTTATCTTCGACCAATCTCTGTACTTCAGAAATAGGAAGCAGGAATTAAATCATGACAAACGTACGATATGGTTAGTGTTTGTGTTTTGTTACAGCAACGCAGCATCGGGCTATCTCCTGTGTCCACCCAAGAGGAATCGAACCCCTGATTTTAGCGTTGTAAATCCAAAGATTTACCGCTGTCCCATCAGGGGACATGATATGGTTAGTCAGCGTTCTAAGAAACATTACCTATTGAAAATGATAATCACTTTCTTTACACTAATTATTTGAACATGAATTTAATCAAAATAGATTAACCTACAACTTTTTTACTTTATTTTATACTAATGCAAAAATCCTTAATAATAGCACGGTTCATTGAAAAGAAAAAGTAATCTATTCTTTTGACGTAGTGCAATTATAATGAAAAGCAGGGTTAAATTCCAATACCCTGAAAGCTTTAACAGAATTTAAAAATTTGTTGAAGATAGTGTTATATAAAACATGATATAAAACTTGTTGAAAACAAATGTAGTTTGTTCAACTTACCAATATGTATATCAATCATCACTAAATGTATAAAACAATTTAAAGCTCATCTTGATTGTAGCACATACATGTTTTAGAACTTATACCATCATAATATTTTGGCATAAGGGTGTGGGTATATATTATAGTAAAGCCACATCGGGCTGTATCCACCGAAGGGAAAATTACATGTTAAGAATTTGTAAGTAATTGTATGTGAAATGTTATATGTGATAATGAGTAGAAGAATAACAAATGTAAATACCTTGAAACTGTTCAAACATTAGGTGTTTCACCTTATGCCAACACGGTAAGTGGGAAAGCGGTAATTCTACGGATTTACAATGCTAAAATTGGGGGTTCAACCTAATTTTGAGACAAATTACTTTCTAATCCAGAATATTCTAGTTTATATTAAAAATAACACTCTTCTACAAAATTCATATGAATGTAAGTATCACAAATCATTGATGTAAGAAACAAGCATGTAATGAAAGAAATATTTATCATTCAGTGATTTTTATCACCATTATTTTTACTGAACCAAAACTATACAGGAACATGTATTTATGGCAAAGTTACTAAGGTTATTTACCACTATCCCTAATTTTGAACCACTGACCAAAAGGAAGGAGACAGTAAGCAGCACCCTAACACTCACACTAAGACTGGCTGTCACTCTTACAATGCACTCACTGCTTAAAGTGTGGGGAATATTTTGTGGTATAGGACAGATTTGAACCTGCTTCACCAGCTCTGGAATCTTAAGCTCTACCACAGGGCCAACCTGTTTCCCACATGTACATGTAAATAGATTTCATGCCTGACAGCAACTATGGATACCACTTTATATCTCGCTAACCTTTTATTGAAAATACACTTTGCTACCAACAAGATAATAACAACAGTAGCACAATTCATTTAAAATTCTGTTACAAAAGACATTCTATTCACAAAAATGTGCTCATCAACACTATATTAATATTTGTAATTTTCCTTTTTTTTATCAAACTTTTGTATTATCTGAAATTATATTTGGTATAGTTTATAACATTTTTTTTTTATTTCATATATTAATAAACTCAATTTGACTCTTTTAATAGCTTGAAATTTTACTTATCTGATCACATAAATTCTAATTTTAGAAATTCCACACATCAATGAAATATGTAAATAGTTAAAGGAATAAATCCTATTACATAAATATGCCACATAAAACTTAAAAGGAATATTTTGTAGCGTCATTAAGGTGTTTTTGTGAAATACATTCCTCCCTGACAATGTTGTGTGGATGAATCAAATCAACACTGTCATTAACCCTGATAAGGAACTGATCAGTCACTAATGTGTTGGCAAGATTCAAAACACAATCAAAACAGGTGATGTCATGTATATTTCATTTTGTTACAATATAATTCTAGGGCAGGAAATTTAAAATCATAGCAATATAAGACACTGAATAAAACACATCTCTTTCTTTTGATTCTACTATCCAGGCTATATGATAATTAGTATATTCCATTTGGCTTTCTTTAAGATTACTTACTCATTTTAATTCATGTTTTACATCAGTATGGTAATATGCAGATTGACAAAAGTTCCCCAAAATTGAAAACGATTACACAAAACACGAAGATGATAAAGATTATTATTTAATTTTGCTTTCATCTTTCAATGTGTCATCTTTAATAAATATGAAAAACAAAATTGTACTCGAAAAAAATAGCTATTTTAGTAATGAATCAGTATTCAAAATATATATATATAATAGTCTCACTCAAATTTCTGTTGTTCATACACATTTCATTCTATAGCAAATGTAAATAAATAACTACAGTTTTTACTAACATGCCTTATCTTTTTGCACAAGTTCTAAAGCATTACTTTATATCAGTAAAATATTGTAGTGAATACATAAACTTTTGAAGAAGAAATATATAATGTTTGATATTGCTTTCATGTATAATACTGTTAAACTTGCATATAACTGATTAAAGCACATAACCATGTTATTGGATAGTCTGAAAAACCTGAAAAGTATAAAACTTTTGAATGAAGTTACATTGAAGAGACCATAAAAATGGCTCCAACATATAAAAAAGCACATTTGTCAACTTTAAATTAAAATCATAATATGGTATCATATATTCAACTGAAAATGACCAAAAATATACAAATGAAAAATCATACATTTAAATACAAACCTTTATAGCTTTAAAAATTTACATTTTAAACTTTTAAAAATACACGATTTGAAATTCATTACACTTCTAATGTCAATGTTAAAATTGTGCTCATGAAACATGGCTACAGAGAAAATGTTCTGAGTAACGTTTTGTCATTGTATATGCACTTATGTGAAATGTGAATAGTTTCATCTTCACATCAGCAACTGTGTAAAAACATTACTCTGAATTGATCGTGTTATATCTTCATATGAGCACTTCATCAAAAACATGACTAGATGAATAGCACTTCCTCTTTGTATCGGCAATTCCTAAAAACATTAAATGGATCATGTTTCATCTTTCTATGAGCACTTTCTTAAAAAACACTCGATAAATAGTTTCATCTTTATATTAGCACTTCATCAAAAAGAAGACTAGATATATAGCATTTCATTTTTGTACCAGCACTTCCTTAAAACATTACCCTAAATAGATCACATTTCACCTTTCTAATAGCACTTTCTTTAAAACATCACTCTAGATAAATAAGGTTTTATCCTTATATCAACTTTCTTAAAACAACAACAACAACAATATAACAAATGATTACATTTGTATTTCCTTGAAACATGGTTCTAAATGAATAATATTTCATTATTGTATCACCACTTCTTTCCAAAACATATGCTTATTATTAACTTATACAGTTTTGTATGCATTCATAAAGAAATAATTAGTATAAATATTATGTAAAATACTTTGAATGTAAAGAGAAAATAACAATAAGAATTGCTAATATGTTAACATATAATTTTATCATTAGTGCTATACTTAATATGATACAAATTTATAAAGGTACATGTTAAGTTCACTCTAACATATGCAATAATATAACACTGCCAATATCTAAAATTTAATGAGTAAATGACATTCACGTAAAAATAGCTACTTACTAACTACTTTAGATTGGTTTCTCTACTGATATTTTAATAGCAGTGACAAGTTTATATTATAAACCTATGGTTACTCTTACTTTCTGAAGAATTATTATAAAATGGAATGTTTTTAAACAATTTTTTTTTGTTTCAACTAGACTACAGATCTTATTGCTACATAGACAGTTTGAAACAAACATATGCAAGCTGATTATAACCAAATGAATATGTTAAATAAGTATAGCAAACTTTTGGAATGTGAAGATTTAACAAAATATCTAGGCTAATATATTTTGCAATTATTGTAAACTGAAATGGACGTTGTACAGACTACCCACAAGGAAGTTTAAACTGGAGTTCTTAAAATATAAATATTACTATCAATTATTGATTTCATATTCTTGAAAATAGATAAATAATCTTTATAAAATTAAATTGTGCTCTGATCAATAAACCAGACAAATATTAAAAAAACTATGCTGTATAGTATGTACATTTTTATTAATATATTATTATTATAATACGTGTGCATATATATATATATATATATATATATGTAACTTACAGGTTATATTTGGTATTTAACCATTTTTATTTCATTCTGTACCAAAATTAAGGTACTGCTCTCTGATGCATTTTTGAAGCACATATACATTATTCAGGATGTGAAATTAATTAACATGTTGCAAGTGCCAAGTGCTCCTAAAAGTCATGTTAGGCTCATACAAATTTTAAAAGATGTGCCCAATTGGCACAAAAAATATCTCATCAATTGTCTCATGGTAGATAAAAAAAAACATTATTTTTTGCCAGTATAAGATTTAGGGTACTATGAACATGAATCAATATTTCTTTGAAACATGAATTTGTGATTTTATAGCCTGAAACCACTTCAAATGCAAGGTTTCACTTATGTATACTGTCTTTTTAGTTGTAGATCATCTGGCTAATCTCTACACTGTACTAAGTTACCAAAAACCCCAATGTCCAACAAGAATTTAAATCCAGGCTGGGTACACACAGAAACTTAATACATATATATATATAATTATTATTATTACTTTCCTTATACTGTATCTAGGCCTATAGCTATACTAACATTAGAAATAAAATAACGTAGATGTCCTAATCCCAATCAGGTCTTAGCAATGTTATCAAGGCTTGAAAGTTGGAGATGTAAGATACATAATGCTTTCTTTTTAATATCACTGCTACAGCAGAACTGGGATTTCCAATTAATAGTTCTCTAGATTTATGGATTTACTAGGTTTAGGCTTAAATCTAATATAAACTATAATGTGTTTGTATGCAGCCTCAATTTGACATTTATGCTTAATCATGAGCATAGATCGAAATTTAGATCCATATGTGTCTAGGCTATTCCACTAAGCTCTAGGCTTCAGTCATGTTGCAATATTTACCCTATGTAGAGACTAAGATACTAGAATGGAAGATAATTATGTTGTGAATGCTCATTCCTTTGAAGAAGAATAAAATGATAAATGAGTACTTCAACATTTTGAGTATTGGTTTTTGTCAGCACTCAAAAATCTCTTCTGGTACCTAAATACTTTGATTTACATGCCACTTAAGTGAAATTAAATGATTTTTAAAAATTTTGAAATTTATGTTTGAAAGTTATACATCTATCAAATTGACAACACTATTCGATCCCCAAGTTGTTGCACATAATTGTCTAAGTACAAGTACAGAAACTGTTTTTTTTTATTTGTCTATTTCTATTGGCTGAAGTTCATAACTAGGCATTAATTTTCAATTCAAATAATCACCTTTTAGTGTGCAACAAGCTATAAAACATGCATTTTATGATTAAGTTATATAACCATTAATTCAAATATATGTGTGGCCTCCAAAGGATGAAAAGTAATTCAAATTCATATTACACCCATATTCATCACCTCATCAGGTGCCCTATCCCTATGGCCCAGTTTGTTAATCAAGGGATTTCATTTGCACAAATAATTATATTTGGTTTTAGGTAAAACTCAAGGATGAATGCTTTGCAAGATTGCCAAGAAAGGAATGTTGGAAACAGGACACTAAGGGACCTTTACCTCCTCCCTCTCCAATTTCTTAAACTTTGTCAAATTCTGAAATGTAGAAAGGCACATCAAAATAAGTAAACTTATGTTTTCCTTTCTTCCTTGGGTTGGTGATCTATCATGAAGGTCCCATGCTATTTCTTTAGAGCTAAAAAGTCAAAGGAATGAAAAGTAAAGAAAGACTCCAGATATTTGACCCCATCTCAACCATGGAAGAACTGAAAATACCACTAACAAAGAGGGAAGAACCCCTCAAGATTCTTTATACCCCTAGTATAGATACCTACCTTGCCCTTTAAAAGAAGATTTACCATGTATTTTGCAAGATTATGATGTCAGAAACCAAAAGTACTACAATTTTTTAGTCACTTAGTGGAGTTAGCAAAAATGGGGTGGGGTGGGGTGGGGGGACTTGAATTGTCTGGTGCAGAGTTGAGTTACTAAAGAGGAAACTTTATGTGTTATGCAGATACCCAAATCCACAGTACTATGTAAAACAGCACTGCAATGAAGCCAATTTCAGAAGCTGGAACAGAATCTTTGGCTGACAAGGTAAATATGATGGTCATCAATGAAGCTGCAGCTAATACTAATTGTGTAAGCTCAAAATAAGCAGGTCAATGTCTGTTTGATCCTCCAAGTTGTTTCTTCTATTCCTCAAAAGCATTTGCATTTCTTTAAATCCAGCTGGAGATGACCAAATTCATGACTAGAGGAGACACTGGCATACAAATTTTCCTGAAGGAAAGACGGGCACCTCAAGCAAGAAAGGATTTCTCTGTATTTTATTATACTAAAAAAGATAAACCTTTTCCCAGGCAACTGAATTCAGATCACTTGGTAAGTGGACAGAAGTTAGTTGGCAACCAGATTAAGAAAATGTTTGGTGCATCCCAGGAAAAAACAGCTTGTAGCAGTTCCATCAAATGAGTGTTCAGAGTGCAGCAAATTTTAATAGGATCCTTGCAAATCTGTAGAAAGATGTGTCTAATAAGATAGATAATGAGTGACTGAAGTAAATTAAGCAAAATCACGAATTCCTAGGAACTATCATAGAATCATTAACACTATGTGCTGTTCAGAATCTGCATATGCAAAAACATCAAGACAATGGAGCTATTTTCCTAGAAGTAGGTCCAAAAGACAGAGTTATAAATCCAGAAAATGATGGAACTTCCATCATAACATGATTTGTTGAAAGGCATACACTCATTTCAAAATTTTTAAGAGATCTCAGTCATAGTATTAAAAGCATTTAGGTCATTGAAAATTTTGAAATCCAGTGAGGTGCAAAAAGAAGTCAGACTCTCTCCAGCATGCCTTAGCAAAGACCAAAACTCTAGTAGGCTTGGCTTGCCTAAACTTTTTTGCTGCAGTGTTGAAATCTCTATTCTAAGCTCTGTAAAGACCAGATGGGGACTTGATTCATGTCCCCAATTTCGTTAGCACAAAAGCAGTTCTCAAAGGAAAAAGTTGTTCAAAGAACCTTCTGCTCTTGCTACAGTTATGGGAATTGAACATTTACCCATTTGGTTGGTAAATGCCAACATAGGCCAACAGCTGCTATGCATGAAAGTGTGGAAGTATATTTTAGAGTCAATGTGTATATACTAACATTGGCTGCAATACTCGTGGATTTTACACTCACTTTGACAAGCATTTCAAAGCCAGTGGTGCCTTTACTAGTGTCATCCCATCTGTAGTGACTGAGAAATGCTGGGAAGAGGTCAAACTAGCCTTCCAGAAGTACAAAAGATGTTTTAGAGATGCTGATGCTGAGATGGAATCACATATGTGGCAGCAATATTTTGAAAGACTGGACACCAAAAGAAAAACAGACTAAACTCATCCTGCAAATGATGCACTTAACCAATGTGACAAATCTGTCTTTCCTTCCTTATTTAACATGACTTTCATCCTTGCAGCTCTGTCAATTTCCACCTGTGAGCCTAAAAGGATATTTTCAAAAGTTAAAAGGATGTTAACTGCCATAAGAAGTACAATGATGGAAGATAGGCTGAAATCCTTAGTGCTTCTTCAATCCCATTGGGAAGAGCTACCAAATAACAACTAGGTAATAGAAAGATATGCATCCAGGAATCATTCTGTAATTTGTTTTATTGCAAAAGTGTTTCAATGCAGGTCATTGTTTATTTATGTTTCAGTTAAAGGTTTAAAATGAAGTTCTAACAACCTAACAAATAAGCTTGTTTTTACTAAAACTACAAAGAGATTCAAATAGATGATGAAATATTTTTTTTTTTCATTCATATTTGGCACTCTTCTCTTCATGAAATGGTTTCTCCAAGATTGGACCCTACATCCACCATTGATTAACAATTATCATGCATTGTACTTGATGCAAACAAAGTTCTATTTTTAACAAACAATCTATCAATTAATAACAGTGATAAGAAATTATCATTTCAATAATTATCCACAGATCACAATATTTTATTAGTAAGAAGTAAATTTAACTGGAGTATTCCAAAATTTTTAGGAGAAACTAAATGAATATTAATGCTTTTTTAATCTCCTGACTAATAAAAGTCTATTTAGGTTTTTATCATATACAATTAACTAAAATAATGCCTTCTTAAAACCTTCATATCAAAAGAAATTTTCTATCCTTCAATGCTTAAAACAAAGCTAAAAATCCTTAGGATATTAACAAAATACAGCAAACTACAGGACAAAGTTACAGTATCAATGAGAGTTGCTGCAATAATAAATAAACTGAAGGATGTGAGCTAAGTTCTGAGTGAGTGTTAAAAGAGCATAAATTCTTACCAGTATAACAAATACAAAGCTATGTATCTATTTGGCCGGATGTATATTCTCATATCTCAAACTGTTATTGGAAAAACAATAAAAGTCAAATAAAGTTTCTCTATCACTGCAAACATCACAAGGTTTAAATAACAGTTCTTCCAAAACAAAATGCTGACTGACATTGCATAATTGTACTCACTTATCACCATAAGTTTTTATATGAACTAAAAATAAACTTGGCATTAATGTTAGTAAAATATTAAACTGTAGGTTCAATCTAAATTATTTAATAAGACTTAATTATCTAACTGCTAAACAATTTTGCAATCCTGCAGAGTTTAGTAGTAAGTGAGTTACAGATGAGTTCAAATAAACTCTTTTATATTCTACAGGTGCATAAAGGGTTTCTTTACTTTCAAGAGACAATTCCATATGACTTTAGATACAGTCTTGGAAGAGGAATTCGTAATAAAATTATGGTTATACCATTTAATGTTGTTAACTATTAACTAAATGCCATAGTTTATAAACATGCACAATAATCACATCACATATATATTCTGTAGATATATATATATATATATATGTTTCAAATAAACAATAAAACACCTAACACACTAATGATAGCCACACTAACTGTGAAACTTGATCCAATATCTAATAAAATATCCAACAAGTAGCAAATAGAAAATTAGAAGTTGCTGAGCTCACAGCTAAAAACTAGGTTCAAGTCATAATATCATGAATATAGCTAACAATTAAATACATGTGAGAATACTATGCTACTTGCATAAAGATATATTTATATAACACCAGTTAGATATCATTTGTCAATATACAGTATTAACTGAATGAAGTATCCAACCCACTGTAAAACATAAAATACAGTTACACGCTTGGAAACTAAAGAGAACATAATCAACCTCTTAAAAATCAGTCTAAATTGTATGCAACATTTCAAAATAAAATTGATTGAAAGTTTCCTTCGACTGTGTATGTTTCCTACAAAATACCAGATACATTATTCCATGATATACCACTGGACAGAAAACTCAGATACTCTTTCCTATCAGAATGAAACTACTCCATTGAATTAAAGTTTATATCTTTTCAAACCTGTGGAATACTGGCTGATCATACTATAATGCTTATCGGTAAGTCTGTTTAACAATGTCTACAAAACTTGTCCCAGATTTACTCTCACACTCAAATTCAATGTGATTGAGTGGTGTACCCCAAGTGTAATGTTGTTTATCTTCTAGCTTGTAGAATTTGATTTGCAGATTCATAGTCAGTGATCCATTATCTTTAACCTGCAAAAAAAGGAACCTCACATAAGTAAATAAAAACAGACTGACACAGAAAACAAAACAATTTATATTAGAAATGCTTGTACAAGCCACATTGTAAATAGGTTCTAAAAGTGCAACTTACTTCATATGACATGCTTTACCTAGTACCTGCACATAAACTTCATACATTCTTATAGTAAGCCATAGAAAAGTACTACAAGAATAACCAGGAAGGAAAGTGCATGTATAAAAAATTTAAGAAATATAACAACAATATCAATTAATATGTATCTTTTTATATTCAAATTCACAGGCCTATTTCTAATTCATTTGTCAGTTTATTTTTTTTCCTGTAATATCAAAAATGTGTTTCTTGCAAATAAACAGTTTCTGTTTAACACTTGTCATTCTAATAATGTATTATTACAGCTTTTATAGTGTTCCTTACTAACCTATCAGAATCCTCAAACAAAAAACAAAGTTTTACTGTAATTTGTTTTCCCAAGTTGTTGATGAAAAATACTACAGAACACTTCAGAGACAGGAAAACCTTTGTTTTTGGTTCATCAAAATAATAATCTTGTTTTATTATTTTATTTCACAGTGCACTGGTACTTAAATCTGAATGAAGTGTTTACAAGTTATTTGAGTATTTTCAATGATATACAAATATACAAACTCATTCAATTTCACAATTCTAAATTAAAACTTATTTCAAATAGGTATTTACCTATTAAATACTAAAAATCTTTCCTTGTTGAGTTGTTCTCATGTTGTCAACAACTGTGTGACATTAGGTTCTGCATGATCTTGACACATTGCAGAGCATGCATCAAATTAGCCAGAATTCTCCACTCTCATCTTTCATGCGACTTAGTACTACAGAGTCAGAATATACATAAGATCTGCTTTCCTGCCATAATCTACATTTCTTAGTTGCATGATAATGAAGCCAAAGAAGTAGACATATTGCAGCAAAGAAAAGGCTGTAAGAACAAGTACTATCCTGATTGTTGATATAAGGCATCACTGTAGAATTGTCTGTGTGAAGCAACACAGAACGGTGGTCGTTAAGTGACAGGAACTTAAGATAAGCATGCTGAATTGTGCAAAATTCTAACATGTTGATGTAAGCAGTTGTTTCATGAGGACCACAAGAACCATAACATATAGAAAGGATGTCTTTGTCAGCAGACGTGGATTTGAATACAGAGGAGTTTGAAGAAGAGACTCCAAAGCTTGCAATGCCATAGAAAATGGCTGAAGTACTCCTTGAATTGAGTTAATCCAAAACTTCAGCTGTACCAAATACTGTATTGGTACTAAATTGGATTTGGGAGTTGTGGATGATCCACCAAAGAGATGTAGTCAGCTGGGCATTCAACTGGGTATGCTTTAAAAATTGAATGAATGAAAGTGTCAGAATAAAAGTAAAAATTCATGTCAAGTAAATGGAGAAGACCAGCAAATGTTTGACTACTTGACAATAAACATATAGAGGTGAAGCCATGTGTAATAAATGATTTTGACAGCAACTTGTTGAAGGTGATTTGAGTCTTCCTGATTAAAAATTTGTAAATTAATTGGACCAGAAGAAAGGTAAAAAGCCACTGGGTGAAGAGAATGAGGAAAAGGAAGATAAAAGTAAAGACCAGGCTCAAGGATCTGTTGAACACAAGGGTCCCACAGATGAGCACATAATCAGAGCCAACCTCTAATAGTCAAGATGGGGATTTGTCTGGAAAAGGAATCAATGAGAGGATTGAGAAGACACATCTCACTTATATCCATGTTTGGCAACAGGATAGAGTCAAAAGAAATGAGTAGATGTAGTTGACAGTGACTGAAAAGCTGATGAGGGAGGTATGGCAGGAGAACAAACATTACCTTGAAGAGGTACTATCAGCAGAAGTAAATCGAGATGCTAAAACCATATTCTGCACCTGCTGGTGTGCTTTTCTTAAATGTAAAACTAGTTCAGGTGAAGATCCTACAAAGACAAAATGATGCAGGAAAGAAGCTCTTTTGAGGTCAGCTGAAATGTTAGGGGTTGCAATCCCCTTGCAACACAACACAATGAGTTAAGGTGCCAAAGGAATATAAGAGCCATGTAGCAGTAGCAGCTGCATCAGTGAAAGGTGAAACTAAAGAAGACTGAACGGTAAAAATATGATCCTAACTGCAGGAATTAGAAGAATGAGAGTAGCTAATAATTAGTGCACTGAAGAAAAAAGTATCAAGATTAGACAAATAATAATGAACAGGGTAAACACTGATGATGGGTCAAACTAGAAGACCCCCCACCACAACCACCAAAAACAAAACTGAAAGCATCAGCAATGATCAAATATCAGAGCGAGGAAGAAAATACTACAATGCCCCTGATTAATGCCACCAGGGACATTGCATACTGCAAAGGGGTGTGTGAATTATAGTACTTGTGCAGTTCTAGATTCTATTTTTCACGTGATTTATTGATTTCAATGCTAATAAGTGTGTGTGTTTGTTTTTCTTCTTTTTTTCAAATCAAAATTGCAAAATTATGGATTACTATTGCTGTCACACAAGGTAAGCTTTATAAAAATACTGGGGGGAGAGATAATTAGAGAGGGGGCATTAATTAGAGGCAATATGGTATAAAGATTCAAGAACTGAATTGTCCAACTGATTCAAGATTAGAAATAGAAAATATCTGAGAAAAGGTGAAATCAGATCAGGAAAAGTTTCATCAGAATTAGCATCAGCTGAAAAATCCTACTTTGCAAATAAAAATGCCTGAGAAAAAGATCAATCTTGTTCCTTATCATCATGAGAAAAGGAGAGGTTTCCACAAAGTGGATCCACATGATCATGAAAAACCTTCCAGGAACACCAGCAAACAATTTGGTATTAAATACCCAAGTATTATGCATATTAAAGTAAGGCCTCCAAAAAGTTGTAGAATTTGCAACAGAGGGAAAGTTGACTTCAGAACTCATAGTAAGCAAAGTTAACAACATGAATATAAACAAGAAAGTCCAGATTATGAAAAGAAAGCAAAATTGTGTATGTTCTTCTGATCCACAAGGAGTACTTCATGTGTAAGAGGGAAGGATGGATTATTATAGGTAAGTTGCTGCATGCTCTGTATTGTGACAAGCACATTCAGAACCTAAAGTCACCTGGTTATTGACAGTATGACAACAACTCAACAAGGAAAGGCTTTTAGTATTTCAGAGTTAAGCATAAATTAAATTCTTTAGGACCTTCCTAATGCTTAAGGACAAAGACTATCCAAGTTTTTATATACACACACATACACATATATATATATGTCCTTTTGTACATTCCTGAAGAGTGACAAGGCAAAGCACAAGCAAACACATCAGAATTACAATAATAAAATATTACTAAAATAAAACAACAATTTGATAACAGATAACTAGAGATTCAATAGACAATCAACATAAAAGGAAACATACTAGCTCACACATAGCATTAAAGATTGTACTAAGACCAGATGTTACAGTTTAATGCAATATCAGTCCAGTCAACTGTAAAAAGATTACAGATAAGTGTGTCAGTAAAAATAACAAAAGGTCACAATTAGCCCCATGAAGTAGCATCTCATATACATATATCTCATATACACTAATAAAGATTGAAACTGCTTCAAACTGTAGTTCTCAGTAATATAGGATTTGTTGCCTGATGTAGACTAGTAATTTTATTTTGGTGCATGACATTTATATGAGCACTTCTGTAAACTGTAAAGTTGAATAGCTTCAAACACTCTCTTTAAATGAATGAGGATAAAGTTTGGTGAATCAAAATAAGCTACAATACAATGACACATATATGTTGCAAGAATAAGTTCCCCAGATGTCTGAAAAATAACATTATCCAATCATGTAGAAACAAATACTTGTTATGATTTAACACATAGATAGACTGAGGATGAAATGTTGTCAAATCAGTCAATCTAAACAGTTTTGTCATATTCTATATAAAATCTGGAACAATGTAGATACTGGTTGAAGCATGACAGTTCTATAACAAGGACATATTCAGAATCATTAGAATATTGAATCAAAATCTGGTTTTGGGTCCTGAAAAAATGTTTGTGGATTCCTATTCTACTAGACTGTGATATTCATAGGTCTTAGGGAGGAAGGACCTATCGGGATATAGGATGACACAAGAGGAATAGTAGAGGGTGCGGGGAACATAAACAGCATAAACATCTGATTGAAAACATTTGCAGGACTGTATTAAGGACTTAACGTCTCAGAAATGGGACCATATGTAAATCCCCGAGTTATGTCGAGGGTAAATGAACCTGAGCCAAAACGGCATCACGACCTATAAGGTCCCAACAATAAAGAAACCACTTATGTAACGCCAGAGCCGAAGACAATATGCAGGCTAAAGTGGAGGAGAGAAGAGCAAGGGTACCTGCAGAAATTCTCTCAGGATTTCTGTGAAGAATCTCAAATCGGAAGGTGTATGGAAGAAATATACTGTAAGAGGTTGGTAAGGGTAAGATGCAGGCGAGAATATTGGGCATAGGTAAGACTGACATTTGATGTGGGAGCTGTTCCCCAAATAGGTAACAAGAAAGCTAACAACTGCTGACCTATAAGGTCCCAACAATAAAGAAACCACTTATGTAACGCCAGAGCCGAAGACAATATGCAGGCTAAAGTGGAGGAGAGAAGAGCAAGGGTACCTGCAGAAATTCTCTCAGGATTTCTGTGAAGAACCTCAAATCGGAGGTGTATGGAAGAAAGATACTGTAAGAGGTTGGTAAGGGTAAGATGCAGGCGAGAATATTGGGCATAGGTAAGACTGACATTTGATGTGGGAGCTGTTCCCCAAATAGGTAACAAGAAAGCTAACAACTGCTGATCTAAAAATGGATAGTCCGGCTGATAGTAAAGAAGGGCGAACTGATCAAAAGTCCTTTTGGTGCATCGCATGCTAATTCTCTCACTCAATTGCGAGGCAAATTGATCAGCATGAACCCAAATATTAGGGGAGGGAGGAAAAGCCAAAAAGGGTTGGGAAGATTGTTCATGCAATAAGGAAGGACGAGGTGAATAAGAAATAAGTGATAGGGTTAAAAAATCACAAACCTGAGACCCAAAATCCAGAAAGACCAAATTAGGCCTAGGAGATTCCTCAGGTTGGGAATGGAAAGAAATGGTAAACTCTGGAGGCAGAAAAAGATGATCAAAGTCCTCGTTAGTCTGCACAGGCTCAGCAAGCTCAGGAGAAGTCTGGGGCCAAAGGTTGGCCCATGTAACATTCGACTTCTCGACGTATGAAAGCAGATAAATCCACTGCGGGTCACCCGCATCTGAGGCCTGAGAAAAAACGCTGATCGCTGGTATAACCCCTGAAGTGGTAACATTAATTTTGGAATTCATTGCACAGAAAAGGCTCACCAAATTCCAGTGCAGAAATAAGGTGGCTAGAATTAACTGATAAATGCTACTATAAGAACTGGGCTGAATGAAAGCAAATTAAATTGAAAAATAACCACTTCGTGAGGAAAACATGAAGCATTAAGCAAACAAAAGAATATATCTGAACTCAAATACTACTAAACGAGAATTGATAGATTGGTAGAGAAGAGTAGAGGGAGTCACATGTGTCATGTGAGAACATTATGCTTTTATTGGTTAGGAAGCAATGCATGATGATTTGCATGAGAAACACTGTTGGAATATAGTAATATAGGGGGGGGGGAGCGGAAGGCTTGTGGCATGCATAAAGAAAAAGTTTGCATGTATATAGGGCAGCACTGAATGAGAATAGCTAATCTTGTGAGAGGAGGTAAGTACCATAATAGAATTGGATTCTGTTATCAAGAATGTAGGAATGGTAGCCAAAGCAGACCTCAGTCCTACAAACAGGAATCAAACAAACACATCAGTAATGTAGCAATTCAAAAAAACTTAAGCCCTACACTGATGTAAATTAGGATTATATGGCACACTCTGAACAATGACAAAAAAAAATGTATTCAGATAGAACACTGAATTAGATGTTACTAGTAGGAATGATATGTAAAGTACAAATTATCTAAACATACCTAACTGACAAAACATCAAATTTACCTAATCTATAAAGTATGTAATAATAACAAATGTGTAAACTGACTAAAATTACCTAGAAAACAAAGTAATAATCAATATCTAACTTACAATAAATTTAAATTAACTTTGATGACAAAGGATACATAAATATCTAACTTATCAAAGTCCAAGCAATGATGACATAAAATACTTAATTCTCCCATGTGCAAAGAAGGACAAAGCCACACAAAGGGCATCTGAGACATGTTTACCATGGGTATTACCACCAGGTGTGAAGTGTACAAGTCACTGGAAGACCTGGCAGCCATCAGAAGAAATGAGGAGAATAACAAACCTCTACCAAAGTGAATGATCTGGAGGTACAGCAACAGGAGCAGGAAAAAGAAAACTAGCAAAATCACTCTTGTCTCAAATATACAGAAAAAAACAAATATGCGTCAACCTAAGTATTCAGCTGTAAAAACAAAAGGGTGTGGGTGTGGAAGGTGAAATCTCTTGAAGAGGTGTAGAGTGTGACAGACCAAAATAAGAAGGTGCCAGAAAAAAAAAAAGAGTTCACATTGTTTTCTCCTTGATTGTATTCTTCCTTAGCAACATTATCAGGTTGAAAAGGAGAAGAAATCGTCTAGCTCCCTGTGAATTAAAGCCTGTACCTCCTCTGCAGATAAAGTCGAACCCAATTCTTGGGAAGTCATAACAGTAGCATTGTCAACTGTAACAGGAACTACCGTAATTGATACACTGAATCACTAATTCATTCAAAATTCTTGTATAAATTAGTAACAAGAAACAAATGCAAAAAATAAAAAATTTTGTTGAAACGATTGAATACAAACACAATAAAAGAAAACTGTTGAAAAAATAATTGAAATGTCAAATAAGCACAATCATAAACAGCAGCCACATGTGAAAAACACATGTCTATACAAAGCTGTGCCAATTGAGAAAGTGAGGATTGAGCAGGGATGGCAGAGGGATCAAGCTGTGCCAATATTGGTGAAGAGTAGTCACATGATACATATATGTTCAGAAATGACATAAAATTGATAGGCTTATAGACTGGTGCGCTGAGCACAAAAACTTTTTATCAATGCTTAGAGTGCAGAAAGAAGATCAAGATAGCTTTGTGTACGAGGAGGTAAGACTGTATCAGAAATACAATTACCATTCCATAGGTTTCTCTTCACAAATTCTCACAAAAGTACTATATGAGACAATGCCCTTATACCCTTGTACATGCCCTTTAAAAACATTTTCACTAGTATTTCCAGTATAGTATGACCAATCATAAAGGTTGAGCAAAAACAATAGTTATTACAGAAAAACTTGGATATTTAGTAATAAATAAGTAATTGTCTTTACCTTAGATTTCAAGTGATAAAAGTAGTGAAAATTCTTGTCACAGTGTGTGGTAGATAATATATAATTTGGTGAAAACAAATTAACTCTGATACTAGAAAATGGCAACAGTAAGATGTTTAGTGTTTAGCAGGAACACTTTTGATGACACTAGACAGGTCCAGTAAAAGCATGTGCACTATGGAGGGGTACCCATTTATTTGGGGAGTTTTTTTTTGGAAAATGTAACCCAAATCAATTAACTCACATTCACTACTATTACACTTCACTGTTGTAACAATAGATAAGGAAATAAGGAAATCTTATAACAGCACAATATTATGATAGTTCTTTCCAAAAAAGATTTTCTTTTGATCTTTCATTAACTCATTAACAGCCTGTTTCAGCCACTTAAAATAAAATCATGTAGTGAGCACACCCTCTACGGAATACAATAAACAAATACTAACACTCACCAAATTACTGTAAAGAATTTAAATATAATGTAATGCTTACTTTCAATTGACTCAACAATCTTGCACATATAAATTTGTGCATGCATGTGTGTGTGTGTGTGTGTATGAAAGCTATTGTAAATAATCTGATTCTATTATAAACAAAGATTTTCCTCATATTATTTACATAATTAATTACAAATTACCAGTTACATTTACATTCATGAATAAATAAATATATGATTTGTAGGGCAAATGACACTAAACAGAAAAGTAAAAGACTAAACTTTAACTATTACCAACAAAAGAGTAATGCAATAGTACTGCACTAAGGGTACCCTACAAATGAGTTTACTAGCAGGAAAAATTACCAGTACTAACTAGTAAACATATTCAATTCTAGAAATAAAATTTTTGAGCCAATAAAGAAGAATAAATATTAACTTACTGTAATGGTTTTTTAATAAAGCATTTTCTAAGGATTTACATTTTTCTAGCTGTCCAACACAGAAACTGATAAAAACATATAACTGAACATTTTACAACTTTCTTGTTTCAAACTCCACGTTACCTCAAGTACAACAGGCAAGATGTCTCGTTTTCCTTTCGTTGTTAACTGCGTCCCTGTACTTGGCCAGGAGAAGGTATAAGTTAAGCTACTACTATCACCAGTCATTTCTGTAGTGTTTACATTAGTTCCCATGACACTTATGTTCCTGATGAAAACAAAAAAATAGGACAGTGATGTTTATAAATTATGTTTAGCAACAGATAAATGTTTATAACAGAACTCATTTTCAACTGTAAATTATTTAAGGTGAACAACAAATGTAGATAAAAGATAAGAAAAATATTAAAATGAGAAGTTAGTTTAATAGCTTTCATTTTTATTGTTTAAGATACCGTACTGTCTATAGCTTCATGGGTAATTTACGGAAAGTTTAAGAGTATAAGACAATAAAAATTTAAAAAATTAATACACAAAACAAAGAAAACATGAGAAAAAAAAAGTTCAAGATTAAGCAACAAGCAATTAGAAAATTAAAATAACCATTCTTATAACAATAATACTAAATTTAACTGATACTACAATTTATTATGGGAAATTATTTTAACTTGTTGAAATTCTTAATAGCTGAAAGATGTATTACAATTTTGAAGAAGCAGGCTCAAGTGTGCATTAAATATACCAGAGAACAAAGGTAATGAAAAATGTATGCTAATAACTTGAAATCTGACCAAAAAAAGAACATATGTGAATGTTAATTTCCTAACATTTCTTAACCGAAAGTCAAAACAAAACAACAACAATAAAACGATGCATTTAAGTTTTACTTCAAAGAAATTTACAGTTTAGGATTTTATTCCCAATTCAAACTATATCTAACAAATTTTACTAGGACTAACTTTTCTAAACATTATACATTATTCTTTAACGAATTACTTTCAGTTCACCCATAAATGTAACCAAAATAAAAGAAGACTTTTATTTAGCAAAAATACTTGTATTTTAGTCTATAACACCTTATACAATTATACTGTGATCTGTAAACTGATAGTTTGTGTAACATTACATCAGATTTATATTCTGTACAGTTGAGATGCTATAATGTTCTTTTTACTAGAGACTAGTACAAACATTTATGCTCCTTTCTAAAGAATGTTAATGTTCATTTTACTTGTTGAAGGTAGTGTATGAGTTAATTATAAAAAATAATAACTAGTAAACTTTTAATACAAAAATACAGGAAAAATAGGTTAAGCACAGAAAATTAAATAATTAGACCAGATAACATATCAAATTAGAATTAAAAGAAATATTGTAACAGCTAGTTATGTAACTTTAACCAAAATATAATATAATTTTTTTCAATTTATTTTACTCACCTTGCAGCTTTGAAAGATATTTACTTCAGTATACAAATAATATAGTACCTAATGTTTCTACATAAGTTTCTATATAAACATGATTAATGCTGAAAAAGCAGGGCACATACTTTCCTGAAATAAAATGATAATAAATTTTCAATGTGTTTCTATATTTTCTAAGTAGCTACATCAAACAGAAATACAAGTTTCTATTACTAAGTATAAGGAGTTAATAAAGGCATTTAAAGAAAAAGTACATAACTTAATTGTGTCAGGAAACTGCCAAGAATTAATTATGGGGATGAAAATAAGTAGGTCACTTGGACTAAATGCTAGACTTAGATTAATATGTAAGGATAAGCAGATTGGCTGGTTGGACTTGCAGTATCAGTTCAATTTTAATATAATGGGAATACCTGAAACATGGTTAAATGTAAGTGATTTTGATGACAGAAATTTCTTTGAAATGCAGGGTTAGAGGTTATTTAATAGGTATAAAGTACAAAAGGGAGGAGGAGAAGTGACTTTATGTGTAAAGTGTGAGTTACATTCCGATGAAGTTGAGGATTTCAAAGATGACAGCAAAAAGATTGAATCCATTTGGGTTTCTATTAGCAGATATAAAAGTAAAAGGCTTTTAGTGGGATTTTTTACAGACGACCAGATGATACTAATGAAATTAATGAGAAATTTTACAATGATGTTAAGATTTCAGCTGTTAATCAAGTCATAATTATGGTTGATTTTAATTTCCGGCATATAGATTGGGAAATGCTAAAGTCCAACCATGAAGAAAGGTTTTTGGAAACTGTTCAATTTATGACCGTACAAAAAGTGTTAAATATTGTATTAAAATTTAAAATCATGATTTTTTCACAAAGCACCTATCCATCTCGGATGGAACACCAGTGTTCCGCGGAACATAGTTTGGGAAACGCTGCATTAGATGGTATCTGATTGAGGTGTTTGAGATTGTAAAGGGAATTCATTGTGTTGATGCATCATCTTTTTTCATACTTAACAGCAAGAATAGTAGGACTAGGGAACACAAATATAAATTTTGGCCAAGTAGGAGTCATCTTCAGCTAAGACAGTTATATTTTTCTAACAGGGTGTTTGGCCTCTGGAATGGGTTACCTTTGAATGCTGTAGAGGCAGTAAAATTAAGTGTGTTTAAGAAAAAACATTATAACATTATGAATGATAAGGGCTGGCTTTAAGATTTTTAAAAAATGTATTTAGTTAATAGTTTTAGTTTAGTTTCGAGGATGGGACAGCCAAGATGGACTAATAAGTTCCTTGTTGTCCCTAAACATTATATTATGTTATTAATGACTCGGTTGAATTTCTCACAACTTACTGAATTATCTGGGGTGGGCGGGTGATCACTGAAAATCCATAACTGGTATCCACTGTTAATTTGATTGTTTTATCAGTAGAAAACCTCTGGCCATCTGTCTGTGGTTAAGAACAAAAACATAATTATTTACTAAGCTTACTATTAGTTTCATTCTTTAATACATAAAGTTCTAATGGTTTCTGTAGATATAATGGCAACATTTCAACATTCACAATAATAAGTTATACAGTTCTAACTAGTTCCTGAAGTATTTGATATCAGAACAGTTAACTTTCACACTGACAATTAAGACTAAAGTTCTAAATGGCCTCTGCAGGATGATGCATTATTTAATTTACCTTTACAATTTATAACATAAATTGTAGTTTCAGTAGCTCTCTGTAGCATAACATTCAATTTTATTCTTTATCATTTGGCAACAACAAATGTCATAAAAGAAAAAACATATGGATAAATTTAATAAGATTTCAGCTAAAATGAAGTCTCAATGTAAATGAACAGAGTAAATGTACCATACAACTTAAAAAATA